ATTATTTATTAATAATAATAATATTAATAATAACAATTACACAAAGCAAAATACCAATCATTCATTTGTTGTCATCTTGATAGGACCTTATAATTACCCAACAAGATCTACTTCACATTTTGATCCAATTATAATATTTATATCTTATTGGTATGCCAATACCTTGATTGTTTTTTAAAAAATATTGGTCAGATATCAGATTCTGATATTTACTGATACCCCATTACTCAATTTGGCATCATTCAACCAGTAAAAAGAGAATCAATAGATTATATATAGAGCAAAGAAAGATGGGACCCTAAATTAGCACAAATGAATTTTAAATCATGCACATACATAATGGCCTATCTTTAATAAAACAAACATGACTTAACCATTTAATCATTTCCTTGTATGTGAATGTTTCCTAGTTCCTTATGAATAATAAATCTGATATTAACCACAGGTGTCAGATTTATTAAAATTTCCTCTCACAAACATGCAGGACACTACCAGCACCATGGAATTTTTTTCCCACAGGTGAAGTTGACCTTGAACACCTTGGAAAGCTTTGGACAAAACTTCCCTTATCCTCCTCTCAGACCAGGCTTGGCTGTTGCCATGTGAGCATTGATTGCTGATGAGAGTTGGCATTTGTGTGATGCTTGCTTTGTGTTATCCAATCTGTAGAACGAAGTTGGTGTCTGCTACTGATTCAAAATTCTCCAATTCAGAACCCAAATGCGATTTCAGGGCTACCAACCCTGCTCTGAATTATGACTTGGTCACAGAGCCATCCTTAACCTAGAGGTAGGATCGTTGCAAGTAACTTTTCATGGCAGCCTTCTCTGGTCTGGGTGCTGTGAAGATTAGTAGAAGTGTCCTTGACTGATGCAGTCTTGATAAACTCTAGGGCCTTACACCCCCTGTAAATTTAACAACATCATGTCATGGGGTCTTGTAGTCAGATTAGCCTTGTGATACACGAGGAAGATGAGAGAATGATTGGTATTTTGCTTTGTGTAATTGTTATTATTAATATTATTATTATTAATAAATAATTTCAAGGACACCTTGAAATTAAAAATGCATAATTCATAGCATTATATAGCACATAATGAAAATAACATCATTCAATAGACCCTATACAGAATTTATGTTATGATTATTTAATACTTATTTAACAAATTCATAAAATTTTTATTCTTAAACATTGTGATATTCTAATTTTTATTTAGCTAATTTAGAAATTTAGCAATATTTAACATTTACACTAATAATACATTTACATTGAATTAAACATATGTGTGTGAAGAATAATTATTTCATTTTCACTTTGATTGCTATATTTCTCAGAACTTGATTCACTTGATTTGTTGATGGCTAATCTCTCATATCTCTCATAGTCAATAATAATATCATTGCTATTATCTACTCCCTTTATAAAATAAAATAAAATATACCATTTTTAATTAATTTATAAGATACAAACTTATATAAAAAATAATAACATATTTTGAACTTTTGTATCCTCATAACAACATGCTTGTCTTTCATATCTGTTCCATATTTAGGATCAAAAGAAGTAAACATACAAAAGTATTGGAACACTTGCTTTTGTTGATTGCGCAAAAATATACATAATAAACATGTATGAATTTATATCATTTGTGGTTTAGGTTCTTGTGAATATCTATGTAAAATCACATACAACTATGTTTTGCAGAACTCGAATAAATATATAAAAATGAAATTCAATTAAATTTGACAATCAAAAATTTTTGACATGATGT